AGCACCAAGGAACTCACCAATCCCGTCTCCTCCCCTGCCGGTTACGAGCTTTTTCAAAACTGTTGTCCGCGCCCTCCTGCTCACTGCCGTTCATGTCGTCGGAATCTTTGAAATCCATTCTCTTGTCTTCGCTCCTCTTCTTATCCCAGTAGACTGTACCGCCCAGATCCCTTTCTTCATCCCCGGTCTTCTGATTCCAACAATTAATGTCACCAGTGTCATCATCATCATCATCATCATCATCATCATCACCTGATTCACCGTTTTGAGATGATTCCGATGGATCATTATCACCATCATTATGAGCACCCCCGGTCTCCTGATTCCAAAGAGTCATATCACTATTATCCTCATCATCATCATTCACATCATCATTAATATCATCATCATGCTCATTATCGTGATTGTATCCCCCTGAACTGTGAGTATTATCCCATATGTTCCTCAGATCCATATCATTCACATTGAATACCTTACCATCACCTTTCTGAGGCTGATGGCACTGCCCAATCACACAGATCCATCCTAGTTCACACGCACAACTCAAACACCGCACGTTCAACTCCATTCGAATCTCGCTGCTATTTCGTCAAAATATTCTTAAGCTGTCAGAGCTCCCCGCTGTTCTGAGGAATGGTTCCTGACGAATGTTCCTCGTTGTAGCTGACTCTCACCGTCGTTCTTGCAGCTGCTTCTACGTTCAATGGAGGAGGCACCTAGCCTCGCGAGGAGTCTCGAGGTTTTTGCGGCCGAAGCATCAAAACTCCCTGCTAGCTTACACCCGCAGGCTGGCCGTCTCGACTGACTCCCTTCTCCTCAGGGATCGTCCAACACACAGCCCTTGTCCAACTCAGCCGTCTGAACACTACACAAGAAACCCGCTACATACCGCTGCATAAACCATAATAGCAAATGGCAGACTTCCACTCACCATCTGAAAACCCGCTCCCACTCTCTCACTTGTCTGACTAGTGCTTCGCGTCTCTCCYTCCCACACGGGAGGGTTTCGGCAGCTTCCTTGCGTCCAAAGCCTCGTAGTTCCTTTTCCCCCTTTGATTTTCCTACTTGGAATGCTTGAGCTTAGCYGGCGATTACTCGTTCACMYGGCTTCTTCCAAATCCGGCCGTTGTCTGCCTCATACCAAGGGCCCGATAGCGTTCATCGGCTCATCTCCTTTTCTCACCGTCTACTTCGTACCGGCGAAGTAGTCCCTTGCTACGTGAAGGGGCACTGCATTTGTAACTCTCTCTCCCTTCGGATCATTGGGCTGGGCCGTTATCTGCGTACACTATGCTCCGCACGACATGTAGGCTACACTTATCCTGAATGAACCTGTATAAGCACAGTATCCTTGTGCACTTGTTGTTACGGCATACTCCATCATGGGAAGGACGCTGCCAGCGTTCTTCAGCTCCAAGTGTTCGAAGTATTCTGACTACCCTTAACCAGCTGGGAAGACCGAACTCCACACTCCCAACTTTTCCTCCTTTCCTCCCCTACCCCAAGGACAAGCCCATCTCCCTTATGCTCCACGACTGCTGAGTCGACCGCTAAGGGAGCCGCCTTCCCCGTGCTACGCGCTCCAGGGTATGGCAGGCAAGCTCTGCGATGATGAAACCCTAGACTTGCAAGCGCACGCGTCGCGGCTGTTGAGCGCTATGGCGCCGCTAGCCGGTTCATGGCCTATTTGGACCTGTGCGGCACTGTAAGAAAAGGAAGAAAAATAATTTTAAAGACAGAAAAATGGCGACGTTACATTTCCCAAGATGGGAAGGAGTCCGACTTTTGAAAGTGCAGCCGTCCCACTAACCCTCCCGTATCCTCCCAGTGCTCCCCACCCAGCTAATGCCTAATCAGGACAGAGTGGTACGTGACTGTTGCAGTCTCGCGTACCACCGCGAGGGAGTCCCTTCGTGTGCCTAATGGGACTCCCTTCTCTGACGGTTGCCATGCTGAAGCTGAGAGAAAATCGAAGTACTGGATGGGGTTAACAATTGACGGGGAAAAAGAAGGGGGTCAAAATAAAAATCATGCCCTTCGAGTATTTGTTTTTTTTTAATCTTTTGAAGAGCTGCCAATCAAAATGAGCCTTTCCTCCCATTCTTGGGAACTAGAAAGAAAAAGCACACACACACACACACAAAAAAAACACCACTTCAGAATTTTGCTGCCATCCCATTCTCCTGCATCAGTGGTCGGACGATGTCCCGCAGATGTCCCAAAGGTGTTTGTGGGACACAGTTTACCTTACTCCTTTGCTAGTGGAACCGTGCTCCTTGAGATATGATGATTGATTGATTTTTTTAAATTATTCTTATTATATATATGATCATTGATTGAATGAGCTCAGCTTGACCTGCCCCGCGGGTAATTCAGAATCATTATGTTGGTCATCTGAGTCCGTCTGGATTCGAACATGGGTCTGTGTATCACCAGGGGCTAGGTCCCACTTGCACGAATTAAGAGATACTGACCGTAGATAGCAAAGATCAACGGCAAAATCTCCCTATTTGCGCAAGTGGGACCTTGCCCCAGTTCTTGGGTGCACCAACTGAGGGCCTACTCACACTACTGTAGACCGTACGTACGGCCGCACCTGGATGCATGTGGGCGCAATTCCGTCCCAAAATAAGTAAATAAAAAAGTCCTAGTGTGAGTACGTCCCACTTTTTTTTTTCTTTTTTTCTTTTTTCAAACAACTCTCATCCTATTATAATCCCCCCACTTGTCTCGACTTTTTCGCGATCGTCGCTGCCCCTTCTGCCCATTTTTGTGAATTCTCACCCGTCCGCCGAGGCAGTTTTGAGGACCCAACAGTCACTTGGGTTGGCAGTTGGCGCGCGCGTTTGTTTACTGGCCAGGTCCCCACCGACATTGCTTTGGCAATGGCGCCCCCCTCCTGCCGCCTCCTTTCCTGAGTCAGGGCATAGTCACAGTAGCAGGACGTTTTCGACGCAGCTCTGGACTCCTTTGCGGTCAGATGCGTCAAGGTTGCGCTGTAATTGCGGTCAGATACATATAGGGAAAAGCTATGCTACGGGTAGCGTGAGGACGTAAGCCTCAACTTCATTCAAAAGGAGACAAGCAAGGAGGCCGAAGAAATGGGAGCATGAGGAGCGGCGGAAGTAGGGTTGGGGGAGGGGGAGGGGGAGGGGTGACCGGTTCCAAGGATGATGAGGGGGAGATCGAATGCGGGGACGCCTTGAGGGATGATGTGATGGGGGGGTGGGGGAGACGGTCAGAGTGGGATAGCGCGAATTATGGCGCTGCAAGGGGGGGGGGGGGGGGGGGGGGGGGGGGGAAGAGCGATAGGAAGGGGGCCTAAACTATGAACGCGCATTAATCCGCGAACATATGTAAACACAGGGCTTACAAGCACAAGGGGAAAAAAATAAAATAAAAATGTTTGAGTGCCAGAAGGCTTAGCGAGGGGGCGGGTGCGACGACACGCGTCGAGCTGGCGATGGGCTTGTCTTCGGGCGTCGCTCCACTACTCTCATTCTCACGCACAAAAGACAAAAAAAACAATCATGGTGGTGTATCCTTCCATGTTCTAGGGGAAGATTCACTCTGGTTTTGCACATTTTTAGAGGAGTGGAGCGAGGCCCTTCGCCCTCGTCCGCGTTATTATATGCTTTTCCCCAGCTCGAATTTTTCCCTGGTCGAATCTGAGGGTACATTGCCTCGACTCGATGCTCTGCATTTACCGCGCTTTTGCCAATTTGCCCGCTCTTCTTCGCGCTTTTCTGCGATTCCGTGGGCGCCATGGCGGGAAAGTGAAAGGTGGACCGTGGCGGGAAGGTAGAGGGTAAGCAAAGCAATTTCGGGGGAGCGAGGGTGCGCGCCACTTTGCGTGGGGGATGTGACCAGAGTTCGGCCGCTGCGCTGCGCTGCGCTGTGCCGTGCTGTGCTGGGCTGCGCTACGCTGGGAGCGTCTATAATGCTTTCGCCGTTGCAGCCATAGCCATGAGCTGGAGTAGCTCAGAGGGACGTCGGCGCTAGAGGCGCCGGAGGCAACGGCAAGAGTAGTAGAGGAGGAGGAGGGGGAGGAGGAGGAGGAGGAGGAGGACGCGGCGGCGGGGGGAGGAAGGAAGGCGAGAGAAGCACGGTCCCTGGGGTGCAGTTACCTGATCCCAGTGCTGCGCGGCGGGATCGGGATGTGCCGATCTGCCTGGGGAGCATGGCGGCTCATTACTCGGATGCCTTCACAGTCGGATACGCTCTCACGAAGAAGAAGACAGAGAGTTTTGTCCAGCCTAACTTCTTGGCGCACGCAAGG